TGTTTTAAACCTAACATTGTGTTTCTTGAGGCACAGTAGAGGACTTCACTTATCTTAAAATGGTTCCCTTTAATAAAGAAATTTTTCATCGATATAAAGACAAATCTAATGATCTAGATTGGCTAAACATTCACGGAACGCATTCTGAAGATACTCGCAGACTTTTCTGCATGACGTAAATTCTGTATTTCTGAAATTTTTTCTTTACATAACTAAGTATTGGTACACATACAGATATCAATCCAAATCGATAGTGTTATTAAATTTTCATAAGATATTGAATTAATATTGTAATATTTATTTTATCGTCTCGTCTATTATAGTACTGGAAGCGCTCGACAACGTTCTGTTGGGAGTACATCTACATTTGACAAGACTCAATTTTATTTACTTTGGATTGACGATTGCATTCGAGATGATTCTGATGAATGTCGTCGAACGAAGTTACTTCTTCGCGAACTCATTCCGTCTGCTGAATTTCAATGGGATCTTGACGAATCTGCGTCCATTATCAGTCGTACAAAATACACCGAGAAAAATTTTCTCATTGTAGTTTCTGGTAGAAAAGCGTCGCTCTTGTTCGACTATCTAACTTATTACGATTTAAATGATCATATCGAAGCACTATTCATCTTCTGCAATAAGCCTGACGATTATCAACATTTGTATCATGAGAAACTGTTGGGTATCTTCACGGATGTTAAACTTCTTATCGACACAATACGCGTAGTTACGTACCTACAATCAAGTAAAAAGGTAGAGTCGTCCCTTAACTTCTTCGATCAGGAGCAAACATGGTGTCGATCCATTTCTATAATGACATTACCACGCATTTGGCATCAACTTTTACTTGAGATTGTAATGGATCTACCTCGAGATGAACAAGCTAAACAAGATATGATTAAAAAAAGCAAAGAATACTATGCCAAAAATAGTAAGGAGTTAAAGAATATCGACGCGTTCACCAGTGGCTATAATTCTGAACTGGCAATTGAATGGTACACAGCCGATACTTTTGTTCATAAGCTCGTTAACCTGGCACTACGCAGCGAGAATATCGATCTTTTGTATGCCTTCCGTTTCTTTATTAGCGATCTCAATGCAAAGATCAAACGATTGCAAATTGCACAGCAAACTATATATGGAACCATAGCATCGGAAATCAGAAGTGGTACAAATTCTCGCGTCAAACTATTCAGTGGTCAGCAACTGCAACCAACCGACCTAGATACACTTAAACAAAGTGTAGGAACTATTATTTCTATCAATAATTTTCTTTCTACCTCGATGGATCGAAGTCAAGCTAAAGACTTCGCTGATCAAGGCCTATTACTATCAGATATGCAACGAGTACTCTTCGAGATTTCACTGAATACTTCATTACAAGAAATGGCTACATTTGTCGAAATTGAACATCGTACAAAATTTCAGGAAGAACGAGAGGTTTTGTTCGATTTCAATACTCTTTTTAATGTCACTTATGTTGAATACGATCCATATGAGCGTATTTGGAATGTGAAAATGATTGCCATTCCGAAAAGTTCAATCAAGGAACATCCATATCTTAGCACTCTACGAGAAATGTTCGTCAAAAATCATTCGGCTACTGTTGCCTTCGGTATCGCTATGATACATGGTTTTGATAAAAAGGACCAAGCACTTCATTATTTCAATCAATTACTACTCACTTTACCATCTTATCATGTTGATATGCCAGACATTTTACAACAACGAGCTATTTTATACCAAGAAAAAGGTGAACATTCATTGGCTTTAAGTGACTATGAACGGGCACTTGAAATTCGTCGTCAACGTGTCCAAGAGAATTTCTTGGGCATTGCTTCACTCAACAGTAATATTGGTAATCTTCAAAAAACAACATCCAATTTCGAGACAAGTCTAAACAGTCATCATGCAGCACTGAGTACTTATGAACAATTGTATGGAACCGAGCAAGACCATGTAACAAAAGCGAAGGTAAACGAACACATTGGTTTGACTTATTATAGTAGTGGAAATACACTCAAAGCACTCGAATATTTAACGCTTGCTCAAACCGTATACAAACGATTTTTGCCTGAAAAACACCTATTCCAAATTGAACTTCTTGGACATATCGGTACAATTCATGAAGCAACAGGAAATTTAACTTCAGCAGAAAAATTATTTCGTCGTCAGCTAAATTGGAGTGAGACAATTCTACCATTAGATCATCCTCTACTCATTACATTTCTCGATTCTGTCTTACGCATTCACATGAAAATGAATCAAACATTAAATATTAGCACGATATTCACCGAATATTTACAAAAACTCAACAAAACGCTGGGTCCACAGCATCCTGC